CTTTGTACATTCACAGAAGCCCACTTTTTTTCCCATGGTTGACCTTGCTGAGTTGGGGTGAAAACGTAACAACAACATTCAAGGTTACAATTCAGAACAAAAGCATTGCAACAATAGGTGTAAAATAATACAACTCTGCGACATTGGACTGAATTATTTATGAAGCTAATGGAACATGCTATTTGGAGATATAAATGAAACCTATATATTAAAAACAAAAATCTGTTTCCTGGAGTAGGAAAAGATTGTATTGTAAGAGTTGTATGGCTTGGGAAAGTATTTTAGTTCACAAAAGACCAGAGCTTTAGCTTCAGGAAGATTAAAAAGTAATATGAGAGCTCTTTTTTCTTCACTACTTTTCCTGTAGCAGGAAAAGATTATATTGCATTAGGACGATGTCTCAGGAAAGTATTTTAGTTTTCCGTAGAAAATTTCAGAGCTTTAGCTGCACTGAAAGTCTAAAAGGAATATGACAACCACTCCTTTTTGATATTAATTTTCTAGAGAAGTGCTTCTTCTTCGTTACTTCACCTTGGATTCTAACTTGAGAGTAGATTCCAGGAGAACTATTTGCTTCGTTTTGAAAGATGAGTTTCAACTTGATTAGCATGAAGATGTGGTCAGATTGGTTAAAGAAGTGAAACTAGCTTTTTATTTGTTCTGATTAGTAAAAATTGTTATAGAATTGTGTGTGTGACTTTGCCTCAATCTTGATTCCTGGTGTCTGCGTGGACTAGTCCCTGAAGTTTTCTTGGCAAGGTTTTTAGAAGTAGTTTGCCATTGCCTACTTCTTCCTAGGCTTGAGAGAATGACTGGCCCAAGATCATCCAGCTGACTTTTGTGCCTAAGACAGGACTAGAACTCACCGTCTCCTGATTTCTAGCTTGGTGCCTTCACCACTGCACCAAACTGGCTCTCAGAGATAGATTAGTCAGCTGGATAGTAGAAATTGTGAATGCTTCTTGGAGAGTAACCTCCCAGTTCTTTTACAGGGAACAGTGGTGAAATTACCACTGAAATAAAACATTCATTCCCACCACTTTAATTATGTAATGTTTCCCTTTTTATTCATTCCAAGCCAACAAATTGTCAGAAATTATTTATGTAAAGTGGTTCGGAACACTATCTGTCTGTCATCGGGATAACTCTCCAAAAACTGAACAGGACCAAATTTGGTGTACTGAAAGAAGCCAGTAAAAAGATCGATTTCAGAAATGGGCCAGATCCTGCCAGGACCCTAATCGGGAAAACATTCCAGAGCAACAGTTGGGCAGCTACTGGAATACTGATGCCTGCTCCATTCTTAAGGGCTCCTCTGGCTTCCTTCTGGCCAGCTGCTGTGAAGGGGTACAAAAGAATTCTGGGGCCAAACCCTGCAGGCGTTCCCTATTTTGTTTGCTTAAGCAAGACCAAGTGATGACAACGCCACATTTCTTGGGAGAGAATTATTATTTGGCTCTTTTTTACATTCTGCGCCTGTTCTGAACCATTATTTGAATGCAGAGGTGGATTGGATTGGGGATAGCAGACTTGGGGGAGACATGATGTCAGCATTCAGGTACATTGAAAATTACTCTAGGGAAGATGCTCAGGAATTATTTTCCATTGCAACAGAAACTAGAGCCAGAAATAATGGGTATGAGTTGTAGCTACCTAGAGTTTCCTTAAATACAAAGAAATGTTTCCTGTTGTTAAAGTTTGTATGGTAGTAGAGGAATGCCCATTGAGATGTGGTTTCTCAATTTTTGGAGGTTTTTAAGAAGAGGCTGGACAGATACTTCTCTAAGATGGTTTAATTGGTTTGGTTTTTTTGGAGGGGGCACATTGCAGAGAATAGGACTAGATTATCCTTGTGGCCCCTTCCAACTCATGATTCTATGCTTCTGATATTTTTTGGTCAGTAGACAGGCTCATCCAGGTTGGGAGCACATCTACCCTAGACAGGGTCACTCTCCTGGAGATCAGTAATGATGGGGATCATTGCTGTCCTTCCGTTGGAGAGGGCTGAATAAGCTTCTGAAACATTGAAACCTTCACCAGAAAAGTAACTTAGTAAATTTAGTAAAGTAACTTTATATGAAACATCCAGCATATGAAAACCTTATTAAGACATTTTCTATGATTCCACTTCCTAGCAGAGACAATAAATAGCAATATTTTTTTAAAAAATAAAACATTATTTTCCATTCTCGGGCATTTTGCTATCACCAGATAGATGGAATAGCAGCATCTTCTGTAAACAACCACATTTAGAACCCTGGGGCCATTCCACCACTCTGGCGTATCTAATTCTGAATTTCTTTTTCTTTTGAGAGGAAGACAAAATGGTGGTACAAATGGGGGAATATTTATTCTGTGTACCATGAATCTCATTGTATTGCCAAAATTGGATGGCTGATGGTGAATGCCCCCAGTGGCTGTGCAAGGATACCAGTGAGTTTTATGAAAGTAGTGGGCTATCTACTTGCTTCATTTAAAGGTAACAGTGTAGGAAAAATTATGCTACAAGCAGAGTCAACTAACTTGAGAGGCAGACCCAGCCCAGCGCAGGGAATTCTGTTGACCTAAGGTTACTTGTATATTTCTTAAATCATAATTTTCTACCCTGCAGTCTTTGTGCTGACTCTTGGATGACAACATTCAGGCTGTAACTTCCTCTGGACATACAGTAGGTCTGCCTTTTGAGTTGTCCTTGAAAGTTGCTATGATACTACCTAACAAAAACAACAGTACTGAATTGAATTGAAGTAGCCCCAGCTGCTATTCAAATAAGCAATTTATGAATCGTAAGAGCTTGGATTGATAATCAATTATATCTGCATAATTTTTTCTAGGAGGTACTGTTAGCCAATTAAATCTGAATAAATTTGCAGATGATTAAAATAAATTGTTTTATCTACAAATGATGGATATGGCAGTAGACAACATTTGCAGTAGACTTTCCCATTTCTCCCAATACTGAGATTAACACCTTTTCTAAAATGGCACTTGGCATCTGCAGGTGTTATAAGCATAAGAATTAAAATAAATTAAAAATAATTTAAATAGTTTAGCAGATATTGAATCCCCAGTTAAGCAGGGCCATCTCTGTGGTCCAGTTCCCACACACACTTTACTGGGTGTAGTATATTAAGGGAACACTAAGAAGGAATCAGTTGACCATTTAGTTAACTCCCAGAGATTAAATTTACCCCCAGACTCAGTCATGCACAGGATTAAACTATTCCCCTCTCCCAGTCAGTTGTACTGTGAGAACACCTAAGTCCAGTCAATTAATCCATTTTGTCTCTCTAGTCCTATAAGAAAAAGGGTGGGAGATTAAGAGGGGCTGAAAGCACAAGTCTCTCATTTACAGAAGTCATTGCCAAGGTCTGTCAGCAAAAAACAGCTCCCAAACCCTGATTGGCTGCAAGGTGGCTCATCGTGAGATACCAGGCAGGCTTTGGGGAAAGTTGTATGTGTGTGTGTGGACACACTGGATTTCCAGAATTGTGATGCTTGAGCCAATTAGTGTGATGGTGTGTTGTCCAAGCCTCTGATAAGGAGATTTCACTTGATTAGTGACTCACTTGGTCAAGTCTGTTGTGAGAACAGAGCAATTACTTCACCACACTGTTTTTAATCAGCTAGCCTAACTAGCTAATTGACTGATACTGTCAGTAATACAGGTAGTCCCTGGGTTAAGAACACCCAGTTTACAGACAACCCATAGTTAAGAATGAAGCTTATTTTAGCAAAATTTGAGTTAAATGCACAATGGTTTGCATTAATTACACAATACTACTTATACAGTATTATACAATAATACTGTTCCAGCTTACATACAAATTTGACTTAAGGACAGACCTTGGGAATGGAACTTGTTCTTAAATTGGGGACTACTTGTACTTTATAATGGAAAGTGGGAAAGACCTTGGGAGACTGGGCCCAGAGATGCTGCCAAGGGAACAGTCAGATAAGAGACAGTGTAGCCTCAAGCTGGATAGTGGGAGGGTCAAGAGGCTCAGAAGGGACCCTCCCTAGATTCTCAGGCTGCAAAGGAGACAGGGGAGAATTGTACTTTCTGACTTGCAAGATTCTGTTAATGTAGCTTTACAATAAAGTAGAATTAGCTCATCTGGTCGTGTTTCCTGTGTGGTCTACCAGGTCAGGCTGACATACTTTGACTCATAAAAATGAATTTGACATGCTGAATTAAGCTTGTATGCTGCTTTTAGGAGGCAGAGTAAGATAGCTGCAGTGTGTCAGGTCAACCTTGGACAAGTGGTTAAAGAAGGTAACGAAGCAGAGAACTTCTCTGCCTGGCATTTCCCCTAGATCAGTGTTGTCCAAACATGGCCACTTTAAGATGAGTGGACTTCAACTCCCAGAAT